AGGGGAGAGAAGAGTGGGCGGGACCACTATGAACAGAGGGCGGGGCCAGTGTGAAGAGAGGGCGGGGCCAGTGTGAAGAGAGGGCCTGGCAGTATGACAGAGGGTGGGGTAGGGTGATAAAAGCATGTCTATTTTGAGGAATCTTTTTCTTCTAAATTGAAATTCATTTATTTAAATGAAGTCAGCTATCATTCTGTGTTGAGTGTTATGCAGAATCTAGGCAGCTAGAGCATCATCCATGACCTGATAAGAGGAATATCCAGTTCAGGAGTGTAGGTCTGATATCTATAACAGATAATCTGACACTCATGGGTGAGAGAGAGGCAAAGACAGAGGAGTCTCACTCCAGTGCCGCCCACCTGGGTGACACTGCGAATAAAGCACAGTCCAGTTCACCTTTAAAGCAATTCTAGTGGTAAAAAAATGAAGGATCTGGGACCTTCCCTGTATGTAGCGACAGCTGCTCCAGCTGAATCCCAGCATGGGGAGGGCATGAATATTTCCTGTGGCTCTCTTTACACAGCCTAACATTGTTTGCCTTTATGCCTTTTCATTTATTCTGGTGAGTTTCTGCATCTTTTTAAAGTTGCCACATAGACATACATACACAAGTGCGTACATTTATTTTGTGAGTGGTTTTGATTTGACAGACAAGTGAATACATGTTAAACTCAACATCACTCAAAATTCTATTTGCAACTTAATAGGTATCAATATTTTACTTTTACAAGGGGACTAGAAATTATTATGATAGCCGTTCCCTCACCTGTTCCCCTTAGGTTCTCCTTATAGAGAAACATCTGCCCTCTAGTGGTGCAAGAACCATTTTCACTGCTCATTTCCTGAAGGTTTGAGCCAGATTTACTAACAGTTTGCTCCAGCGCAAACCATCTTTTGGTGTAAAAATATTGCTGTTGTGATTTCCTAAAAACACGCAGCGAAAAGTTAGTCGTGGAAAGGCATTGACAAAGTTAATTTTGCGACTGGCTATACTGCATATGCATTTGTGGGAGTTTGCTTCCCAAGTTTTTAAACGGATCATGCAACGTGATTAACTAAGGTTTGCTATACACTATTCATGCCAAATTGCGCCATTATTTAACACTGGAAAAATGTCTCATTGTGCTTTCGACACGGCTGTGACAGTTGCTGCCAGGTGGAGGCGCCGCTGAGTATACAGGAGCGTAAACCTACGCATAGCGCTGGGCAGAATGGCTGAAAATTTGTATTAAGGTATTTTTTAGGATTCTGCCAGTTTCACGATATATCACAAGGTTTTTTGTTTTATTAGATTATTAATGTATATTTAGCTAGATAGCTACATTTTATTGATTATAATCATATATATTAGCTCCATTAGCATTACTATTGATTATTCACATATTTTCAGCTTGGTAACAACGTGTTTACTTAAATGGCATAATTTAAATAATTATTACCATGATAAATCGATAATATTAGGGATTTTGCCTTACCGATATGCATTTGTATTACACATAATCTAAATTTTCAGGCACAGACTGAAGCAGTAGCTATAAATCTACAATGCTGAACAGTTATATGTGGAAAATTCTTGCGTTATAAAGTTCTGTTAGTGAAAAAGGGTTTACTCAGTTACCAGGGTCCCCTCTCAATTCACTCTGCACAGCGATCCATAGCGTTTCTAGTATCTTGTAGTCAACAATATCATATCATTTGCTGCCTATTGAAGCATTACAGCTGTTGTTTCAGCTACAGTATGGCGCTACATGAAAAATACATACTGCACGGGATATTAAAACCACTAGGCCTACCTATGCTTATAATGTTTGTCAGATTGCAAAATGCTGTGTCTGTGTTGTTAGTAGATTTCCCGCACCCTCATCAGGTGCGACCTTACGCTAATTTGCGTTGTCCTTGGTAGATTGGGTCTGTCATTATTTAAATGAACTGACTGAGTCTGTATTCATAAATTTGCGTATTCATAGTAAGTCACCTGCAGAATTGGCCACTTCTACTGGCACTTTTACAGATTGTACCCTCACACTAATTTTGCCCTGCAGAGTAAATCGGGTTTTTAATGTCTCATATCTCCATAAACACTGATCACAATAGACCCCTATAAATCTTAGAGGGCTAAATTCCTTTTAATTAGAAATCCTTCCATTATATCAGGTATATCCTGAATGCTTTTGGGATGGAATAAAAACAACACATCATGCAAATACATGAAAGACAAAATGCTGATCTGGTTACCATCTGGATTGATGTTGGCAAAGACATCCTTCAGATCTTTCTTCTGAACTTTTGGCAGCCTCTTGATGTAATTTTTGGCCTGATGCAAGACAAACACACCCAATTAAGGTACAGTGTGGTTTCATACAGTGTGGTTTTTCCCATACATTATGAACACTCCCTTACTGGTCAGGTGACCATGCAATAAAAGTGAACTCACACACTATGGAAGGATTGTGTTTGAAATGTACATATTCCCATTATTAGTTGAATTACATATGCTAATTGCATTACTGAAATTAATGTTACTACAAAAGATAGCTGAATATGTATGTACATTAGGGCGGTCCACGGCACTATGGAAAATTTTGAATTTCATTAAAACCCACCTCCACAAGTTTAAATATGTTCTATCAGATGTAGTAAAGATATGATGTAAATATGGAGCAAATTGAACTACATTTAGAGGTCGCTCAAGGTCCCACAAGTTTGTTGTGGACTCAGATTAAGACAATTTGCCAAAATTCCAGG